AAAACTCTAGAACTGCAGACACATTCATCACTTTCAAAACTACAGTTAGAAAACATCTTATCTCCCTGATCCACCCCGACAACTAACTACATGATAACCACCTGGTGGTTCACAATTACACTCACTCACCCACTGACTATAAACCCAGAAATACTAATCTTAATCTTAAAATAATAAATCCTAACTAGTCATAAGTTTGCCTATGATACTCCAATATAGACACTTTGTATTGTGCCAAAACAAAAGCATTCACATTGCTAAACTCACAAATTATGATGTAGTCACTTAGCCTTAATACCATAATCTGTAAGGGTTTAATGTTAAGAATTAATCTAAGTCTGCTCGAAATGCCTAGCCAAGCTAGGTGTCCTAGTGGCCCCCTCTGTAATTAGTATTTTATAACATATAAACCACACAATACCCAAAACCTTTAAACCCCACATTGTAACCCTTATAGAGAATAAACTTGAATTGAATTGAATGTACGTGTAGTAAATAAAGATATTATTATTTTTATTATTATTATTATTATTATTATTATTATTATTATATTATTATTTTCTCAGTTGTTTGTTGGGTTATCTTACTCAAACTTGGGCAATGTATGATGGAAAGATACTTCTTTACGTACACTAAAAATGAAAGAAATCAGACCATAAATAGCGGAGTTCACTTTTCAGCCATTAGCGGCCACTTAGCGGTAAATTTTTGTATGGTTGTTATGGTTATACATTGGACCCCCGACATTCGATGGCATCGACATTCAATAAATCCGACATTCGATGCATTTTAACACAAAAATTTCACCTTGACATTCGATGGAAAACCCGACATTCGATGCGATTCGTATGAGACGTGTCCACGTGTGGCCTGAACTGCCCCGTGTGTGCGAGTGTTTACAAGCCAGCCAGTGTGCGTGCATCTAAGGATACATTCGGTACATTCTATATTATCACTTTTTTTGGTGCTTGTTTCTGCAAAATAAGTAACCATGGGCCCCAAGAAAGCTTCTAGTGCCAAGCCTTCGAGAAAAAAGGCGCTAATGACTATTGAAATGAAGAAAGAGATAGTAATTGCAAAGTATGAAAGTGGAGTGCGTGTCAGAGCTGGCCAGGTTGTATAGTAAACCCCAATCAACCATCTCTACTATAGTGAGCAGGAAAACGGCAATCAAGGAAGCTGTTGTTGCAAAAGGTGCAACTTTGTTTTTGAAACAGAGATCGCTAGTGTTAGAAGATGATGAGAGACTGTTATTGGTGTGGATAAATGAAAAACAGATAGCAGGAGATAGCATCTCTCAAGCGATCATTTGTGAAAAGGCTAGGCAGTTGCATGATGATTTGGTAAAGAAATTGCCTGCAACTAGTGGTGATGTGAGTGACTTTAGGCCAGCAAAGGTTGGTTTGAAAGATTTAAGAATCGTAGTGGCATACATAGTGTGATAAGGCATGGTGAGGCTGCCAGTTCGGACCACAAAGCGGCTGAAAAATATGTGCATGAATTCAAGGAGTACATAGAGGCTGAAGGATTGAAAGATGAACAAGTGTTTAACTGTGACAAAACAGGCCTGTTTTGGAAGAAATTGCCAAGCAGGACCTACATTACTCAGGAGGAAAAGGCACTCCCAGGACATGAGCCTATGAAAGACAGGCTTACTCTTCTGATGTGTGCCAATGCTAGTGGTGATTGCAAAGTGAGCCTTTATTGGTGTATCACTCAGAAACTCCCAGAGTGGTCAGGCAGATGAATGTCCTCAAGGCTAATTTGTGTGTGCTGTGGAGGGCAAACAGTAAGGCATGGGTCACTAGGGACTTTTTCTATGACTGGTTACACCATGTATTTGCCCCCACTGTGAAAAATTACCTAACTGAAAAGAAATTAGACCTTAAGTGCCTCCTGGTATTAGACAATGCCCCTGGTCATCCTTCAGACGTAGCAGAGCGACTTTACTGACTCAAGAAATCGTAATGACATGATTGCAAACAAACCAGTGGCTAATGCGACGGGCTGGAGTTTTGAGACTCTATGACCGCGGGTTCAATCCCGGCTGGGGGTATGGTTTCAGAGCGACTTTCTGCGGACATGAGCTTCATTAAGGTCAAGTTTTTGCCTCCTAATACCACTCCTCTCCTGCAGCCCATGGACCAGCAGGTCATTTCCAACTTCAAGAAACTGTACACAAAAGCTATGTTTCGAAAGTGCTTTGTAGTGACCACAGAAACTCAACTGACTCTAAAAGAGTTTTGGAGAGAGCACTTTAATATCCTCAATTGTGTAAACCTTATAGGTAAGGCTTGGGAGGAAGTGACTAAGAGGACCTTGAACTCTGGTTGGAAAAAACTGTGGCCAGAATGTGTAGACAAAAGGGATTTTGAAGGGTTTGATGCTAACCCTGAGAATCCTATGCCAGTTGAGGAATCCATTGTGGCATTGGGGAAGTCCTTTGGGTTGGAGGTTAGTGGGGAGGATGTGGAAGAGTTGGTGGCGGAGGACAATGATGAACTAACCACTGATGAGCTGCTAGATCATCTTCAACAGCAAGAGGCCACACCTGAGGAAACTGCTTCGGAGGAGGGGAGAGAGAAATTGAAGAAGTTGCCTACTTCAAAGATTAAGGAAATGTGTGCAAAGTGGCTTGAAGTGCAAACCTGTTTTTTATGAAAATCACCCTGACACAGCTACTGCAAGCCGTGCTGGTGACTACAGTGGACCCCCGCATAACGATTACCTCCGAATGCGACCAATTATGTAAGTGTATTTATGTAAGTGCGTTTGTACGTGTATGTTTGGGGGTCTGAAATGGACTAATCTACTTCACAATATTCCTTATGGGAATAAATTCGGTCAGTACTGGCACCTGAACATACTTACGGAGTGAAAAAATATCGTTAACCGGGGGTCCACTGTATTACACTGACAATGTTGTGAACCACTTTAGGAAAGTCATAAAGGAACGAGAGGTACAGGCCTCTATGGACAGATATGTTGTGCGGCAGAAGTCCAGTGACTCTCAAACTGGAGGCCTGGTCACAGACCGGGCTGCGGGGGCGTTGACCCCCGGAACTCTCTCCAGGTAAACTCCAGGTCCTAGTGGCATTAAAAGAAGAAGGGAAGTAACCCCAGAAAAGGACTTGCTACCTCAAGTCTTAATGGAAGGGGATTTCCCTTCTAAACAGTAACAACTTCGACACTCTTCCCTCCTCCCATCCCATCAATCATCACCAGATCTTCATTAAAGGTAAGTGTCAATTATTCTATTGTTATTAATGTATTGTTATTGTTGGTATTGTAATTATTTTATTGCATTAAACTTAATATTTCATGTGGTAAATTTTTTTTTTCATACTTTTAGGTGTCTTGCACGGATTAATTTGATTTCCATTATTTCTTATGGGGAAAATTAATTCGACTTTCGATATTTTTGACATTCAATAGCTCTCAGGAACAGATTAGTATCGAATGTCGAGGGTCCACTGTATTCTCATTTTTTCGGTCTCATTTGATAGAATGAAAGATATATTACAGAAATAGATATGATTTTGATTGCTTTCATGACGAAAAGTACCTTGAAATTGCGCTCACAGTAGCAAAAATGTTCTATTCTTTAGCGAATCTGAGGAGTAAACGAATGACGTCACCGTCCAATACCTGTCCGCCTGCCAGTCAAAATTCCAGTACAGAGTCAAGAATGGCTTGACATTATTTATACAATTATTACAATAATGCAGCAGTCTGCATAACAGTAAATCTTCTATTTTTTTGTGAATAAAAAAATTCCAAATGAAAAGCAAGAGTAATATATGAGGGGCTTGTAGCCGTGACTAATGAACAGAGAAAATGTTATTTTAGTGCCAGGAATGTCTGCATTGTTTATTCTGGACCCTATTTTGAAATTGGAATCTGCTGAAATTTGTGTGAAATTGGCCAAATTGCCAATTTCTGACCACTTTATTGGGTAGCTGAAATAAGTGAATAGGCGGTTTCTTGTACTCAGTTGACAGACTAGAAGTAAATAAGTTTATTCAGGTATACACAAATACAGTTACATAGATTATCATACATAGCAGTGCACGTATAGAGAACCTAGGATAACCCAGAAAAGTCAGACAAAGTGACTTATTTCCAGTACCTGGCTTGGGCTTGCCGTATATGATTTTTGGTAAATATTTTTTTTTTTCTTGGTTGTTTGTTGGGCTATCTCATTGAAACTTGGGTAATGTATGATGGAAAGATGCTTCTTAATGTACAACAAAAATAAAAAAGATGGACGATAAATAAGGGAGTTAACTTCTCGGCCATTAGCCGCCTCTTTGCAGTATATTTTCGTATGGTTTTTATGGTTGTATTCTCATTTTTTTGGACTCATTTGATAGAATGGAAGATATATTACAGAAATAGACATGACGAAAAGTACCTTGAAATTGAGCTCAAAGTACCGGAAATGTTCGACTTTTGCCGATGTTCAATGAACTGTGTAAGTCAAGTTGGTTAATTTTATTAAGTGTATTCTAACCTAACCACTCTGTAATTCGGCAAACTCAGTAATCCGGCACACTACAAGTCCCAATGATGCTGGATTTGTGATGGAGGACCTGTATTAACATTGTGTATTATAGCTCTAAATGTTGCCACGTGAAAATAAAAAAAGAAAGAAATAGTAATTGTGTAATTTGACTTCCCAAGTCTGTGTGTAAATCAGAGCCACTACGTTCCATCTGACCCAAATGGCACTAAACCTGTAAGGGTAATACACCTCTGCTCACCAGAAAGATAGGAGAATACTTTTACAATGCAACTATACTGTATGTAGTCAAGAGTTATATAATCCAAAGGAAGGACAGTGGAAACTGCTAGTGAATCAGACAATCATTGTAAAATGATAAAAGAAAAAAACAACTGAAAAGGCACTCTTCATAGTATTATTGTTAAAGTGTTTCCATGGATAATTGATGCTACATGGGATTAATACACAATGTAAAGACAAACAATGAACAGCTTACCGAACATTCTCTCCGTGATGACTGCACACAACCCGAGTCATCATTTCGTATGCAACACCCGGTTTCTCTCTCCGCTCTCCGCTGTTCTTCAACGTGACGAAATATTTTTTCATCTTTTCTCATACATGGTGCAAACTTAGCTCCAAGGTGTATAAGATCAGCCTGTAAAGCAGAAACATTTGAAGAAAATGAACTTGTTACAGATTATAAATACATTACTGTACATCCACCTGGGTGTTGAAAAATAATTGCAATTTAAGAAAAAATGATAGAATTTGCAATCAAACAATGATGTAGAATCACTCTGTACATATTTGTATAATAGTTTGTGATACATGGAAACACTACTTCCACTCACTATACATAAACTTTAATTTACTATGTATAAATTGTTTGTTAAGACTCGTGAAACACCTGGACATCTGTATTCCAAAGATGTTTTGTCGGCCAGCGGCTTTATCATTTTATCAAGACTAAGGCAGTGAAAACCATCTACCAAGGCTGAGGGACTGATGTCCCTATCTTGTTCTGCCTACCATTTATAATCTCAACATTGATCTGAAAAAGTCCAGTTAACTGGACTTGAGTCCTGGAGGTGGAGGTACAGAGCCTGAACTCTGAAAGCCGGGTGGGGATATTGGAAGTTTTGAACTGTAGTCTTGGTGCCCCTCTGGTAAGATAGTGATGGAGTGAGTGATGGTGAAAGTGTTTCTTTTTTTCTGGATGACCCTGCCTCAGTAGGAGGGTTTGTTAAAAAAAAAAAAAATAGCTGGCAAAACATTTTCAAAACTTGTCAGTACTGCATATCACTAATATAATGATATATCAGACATATCAGATCACTTTCTAGTTGTAGCTACACTGAGAGTAAAAGGTAGATGGGATACAAGGAGAATAGAAGCATCAGGGAAGAGAGAGGTGAAGGTTTATAAACTAAAAGAGGAGGCAGTTAGGGTAAGATATAAACAGCTATTGGAGGATAGATGGGCTAATGAGAGCATAGGCAATGGGGTCGAAGAGGTATGGGGTAGGTTTAAAAATGTAGTGTTAGAGTGTTCAGCAGAAGTTTGTGGTTACAGGAAAGTGGGTGCAGGAGGGAAGAGGAGCGATTGGTGGAATGATGATGTAAAGAGAGTAGTAAGGGAGAAAAAGTTAGCATATGAGAAGTTTTTACAAAGTAGAAGTGATGCAAGGAGGGAAGAGTATAAAGGAGAAAAAGAGAGAAGTTAAGAGAGTGGTGAAGCAATGTAAAAAGAGAGCAAATGAGAGAGTGGGTGAGATGTTATCAACAAATTTTGTTGAAAATAAGAAAAAGTTTTGGAGTGAGATTAACAAGTTAAGAAAGCCTAGAGAACAAATGGATTTGTCAGTTAAAAATAGGAGAGGAGAGTTATTAAATGGAGAGTTAGAGGTATTGGAAAGATGGAAGGAATATTTTGAGGAATTGTTAAATGTTGATGAAGATAGGGAAGCTGTGATTTCGTGTATAGGGCAAGGAGGAATAACATCTTGTAGGAGTGAGGAAGAGCCAGTTGTGAGTGTGGGGGAAGTTCGTGAGGCAGTAGGTAAAATGAAAGGGGGTAAGGCAGCCGGGATTGATGGGATAAAGATTTTTATTTATTATCACACCGGCCGATTCCCACCAAGGCAGGTTGGCCCGAAAAAGAAAAACTTTCACCATCATTCACTCCATCACTGTCTTGCCAGAAGGTGCTTTACACTACAGTTTTTAAACTGCAACATTAACACCCCTCCTTCAGAGTGCAGGCACTGTACTTCCCATCTCCAGGACTCAAGTCCGGCCTGCCGGTTTCCCTGAATCCCTTCATAAATGTTACTTTGCTCACACTCCAACAGCACGTCAAGTATTAAAAACCATTTGTCTCCATTCACTCCTATCAAACACGCTCACGCATGCCTGCTGGAAGTCCAAGCCCCTCGCACACAAAACCTCCTTTACCCCCTCCCTCCAACCCTTCCTAGGCCGACCCCAACCCCGCCTTCCTTCCACTACAGACTGATACACTCTTGAAGTCATTCTGTTTCGCTCCATTCTCTCTACATGTCCGAACCACCTCAACAACCCTTCCTCAGCCCTCTGGACAACAGTTTTGGTAATCCCGCACCTCCTCCTAACTTCCAAACTACGAATTCTCTGCATTATATTCACACCACACATTGCCCTCAGACATGACATCTCCACTGCCTCCAGCCTTCTCCTCGCTGCAACATCATCACCCACGCTTCACACCCATATAAGAGCGTTGGTAAAACTATACTCTCATACATTCCCCTCTTTGCCTCCAAGGACAAAGTTCTTTGTCTCCACAGACTCCTAAGTGCACCACTCACTCTTTTTCCCTCATCAATTCTATGATTCACCTCATCTTTCATAGACCCATCCGCTGACACGTCCACTCCCAAATATCTGAATACGTTCACCTCCTCCATACTCTCTCCCTCCAATCTGATATTCAATCTTTCATCACCTAATCTTTTTGTTATCCTCATAACCTTACTCTTTCCTGTATTCACCTTTAATTTTCTTCTTTTGCACACCCTACCAAATTCATCCACCAATCTCTGCAACTTCTCTTCAGAATCTCCCAAGAGCACAGTGTCATCAGCAAAGAGCAGCTGTGACAACTCCCACTTTGTGTGTGATTCTTTATCTTTTAACTCCACGCCTCTTGCCAAGACCCTCGCATTTACTTCTCTTACAACCCCATCTATAAATATATTAAACAACCACGGTGACATCACACATCCTTGTCTAAGGCCTACTTTTACTGGGAAAAAATTTCCCTCTTTCCTACATACTCTAACTTGAGCCTCACTATCCTCGTAAAAACTCTTCACTGCTTTCAGTAACCTACCTCCTACACCATACACTTGCAACATCTGCCACATTGCCCCCCTATCCACCCTGTCATACGCCTTTTCCAAATCCATAAATGCCACAAAGACCTCTTTAGCCTTATCTAAATACTGTTCACTTATATGTTTCACTGTAAACACCTGGTCCACACACCCCCTACCTTTCCTAAAGCCTCCTTGTTCATCTGCTATCCTATTCTCCGTCTTACTCTTAATTCTTTCAATTATAACTCTACCATACACTTTACCAGGTACACTCAACAGACTTATCCCCCTATAATTTTTGCACTCTCTTTTATCCCCTTTGCCTTTATACAAAGGAACTATGCATGCTCTCTGCCAATCCCTAGGTACCTTACCCTCTTCCATACATTTATTAAATAATTGCACCAACCACTCCAAAACTATATCCCCACCTGCTTTTAACATTTCTATCTTTATCCCATCAATCCCGGCTGCCTTACCCCCTTTCATTTTACCTACTGCCTCACGAACTTCCCCCACACTCACAACTGGCTCTTCCTCACTCCTACAAGATGTTATTCCTCCTTGCCCTATACACGAAATCACAGCTTCCCTATCTTCATCAACATTTAACAATTCCTCAAAATATTCCTTCCATCTTCCCAATACCTCTAACTCTCCATTTAATAACTCTCCTCTCCTATTTTTAACTGACAAATCCATTTGTTCTCTAGGCTTTCTTAACTTGTTAATCTCACTCCAAAACTTTTTCTTATTTTCAACAAAATTTGTTGATAACATCTCACCCACTCTCTCATTTGCTCTCTTTTTACATTGCTTTCACCACTCTCTTAACTTCTCTCTTTTTCTCCATATACTCTTCCCTCCTTGCATCACTTCTACTTTGTAAAAACTTCTCATATGCTAACTTTTTCTCCCTTACTACTCTCTTTACATCATCATTCCACCAATCGCTCCTCTTCCCTCCTGCACCCACTTTCCTGTAACCACAAACTTCTGCTGAACACTCTAACACTACATTTTTAAACCTACCCCATACCTCTTCGACCCCATTGCCTATGCTCTCATTAGCCCATCTATCCTCCAATAGCTGTTTATATCTTACCCTAACTGCCTCCTCTTTTAGTTTATAAACCTTCACCTCTCTCTTCCCTGATGCTTCTATTCTCCTTGTATCCCATCTACCTTTTACTCTCAGTGTAGCTACAACTAGAAAGTGATCTGATATATCTGTGGCCCCTCTATAAACATGTACATCCTGAAGTCTACTCAACAGTCTTTTATCTACCAATACATAATCCAACAAACTACTGTCATTTCTACAAAGATAGAAATGTTAAAAGCAGGTGGGGATATAGTTTTGGAGTGGTTGGTGCAATTATTTAATAAATGTATGGAAGAGGGTAAGGTACCTAGGGATTGGCAGAGAGCATGCATAGTTCCTTTGTATAAAGGCAAAGGGGATAAAAGAGAGTGCAAAAATTATAGGGGGATAAGTCTGTTGAGTGTACCTGGTAAAGTGTATGTTAGAGTTATAATTGAAAGAATTAAGAGTAAGACGGAGAATAGGATAGCAGATGAACAAGGAGGCTTTAGGAAAGGTAGGGGGTGTGTGGACCAGGTGTTTACAGTGAAACATATAAGTGAACAGTATTTAGATAAGGCTAAAGAGGTCTTTGTGGCATTTATGGATTTGGAAAAGGCGTATGACAGGGTGGATAGGGGGGCAATGTGGCAGATGTTGCAAGTGTATGGTGTAGGAGGTAGGTTACTGAAAGCAGTGAAGAGTTTTTACGAGGATAGTGAGGCTCAAGTTAGAGTATGTAGGAAAGAGGGAAATTTTTTCCCAGTAAAAGTAGGCCTTAGACAAGGATGTGTGATGTCACCGTGGTTGTTTAATATATTTATAGATGGGGTTGTAAGAGAAGTAAATGCGAGGGTCTTGGCAAGAGGCGTGGAGTTAAAAGATAAAGAATCACACACAAAGTGGGAGTTGTCACAGCTGCTCTTTGCTGATGACACTGTGCTCTTGGGAGATTCTGAAGAGAAGTTGCAGAGATTGGTGGATGAATTTGGTAGGGTGTGCAAAAGAAGAAAATTAAAGGTGAATACAGGAAAGAGTAAGGTTATGAGGATAACAAAAAGATTAGGTGATGAAAGATTGAATATCAGATTGGAGGGAGAGAGTATGGAGGAGGTGAACGTATTCAGATATTTGGGAGTGGACGTGTCAGCGGATGGGTCTATGAAAGATGAGGTGAATCATAGAATTGATGAGGAAAAAGAGTGAGTGGTGCACTTAGGAGTCTGTGGAGACAAAGAACTTTGTCCTTGGAGGCAAAGAGGGGAATGTATGAGAGTATAGTTTTACCAACGCTCTTATATGGGTGTGAAGCGTGGGTGATGAATGTTGCAGCGAGGAGAAGGCTGGAGGCAGTGGAGATGTCATGTCTGAGGGCAATGTGTGGTGTGAATATAATGCAGAGAATTCGTAGTTTGGAAGTTAGGAGGAGGTGCGGGATTACCAAAACTGTTGTCCAGAGGGCTGAGGAAGGGTTGTTGAGGTGGTTCGGACATGTAGAGAGAATGGAGCGAAACAGAATGACTTCAAGAGTGTATCAGTCTGTAGTGGAAGGAAGGCGGGGTAGGGGTCGGCCTAGGAAGGGTTGGAGGGAGGGGGTAAAGGAGGTTTTGTGTGCGAGGGGCTTGGACTTCCAGCAGGCATGCGTGAGCGTGTTTGATAGGAGTGAATGGAGACAAATGGTTTTTAATACTTAACGTGCTGTTGGAGTGTGAGCAAAGTAACATTTATGAAGGGATTCAGGGAAACCGGCAGGCCGGACTTGAGTCCTGGAGATGGGAAGTACAGTGCCTGCACTCTGAAGGAGGGGTGTTAATGTTGCAGTTTAAAAACTGTAGTGTAAAGCACCCTTCTGGCAAGACAGTGATGGAGTGAATGATGGTGAAAGTTTTTCTTTTTCGGGCCACCCTGCCTTGGTGGGAATCGGCCGGTGTGATAATAAAAAAAAATTTTATTTACTGTCTCTTACTGCACTATAATATATACTGTAGAATATACTTTACCACTGGTATCTCATTCACTCCACTATCAAACAATTTTATGGAATGAAATCAATGTAGAAGTGTGACGACGGTAACATTTGCAAAGGGACTGATAAGCCAGACTCAAGTCCTCAATAACCTGTCTTAGTGGTCTAGTGTGGTTCATCAATTCACTTCCTTCTATCATCAATGCTTGTGTTGAAGGCTGGTGTTATACATGAATTCAACACAAGACCAAAATTTCAAGTTTTGAATAATATTTAATGATGTTTAATAAGCTACTGAAAAATAATGCTAGAGAATTTCTCCTCTCTCACACATGAACTGTAGTGTACCAGTGTTGTAGAGATCATATATGTGAGCCCTGGTCTACAAGTGTTGTAGATCAGATATGAGCCCTGGTCTACTAGTGTTGTAGAGACCATACATGAACCCTGGTCTACTAGTGTTGTAGAGACCATACATGAACCCTGGTCTACCAGTGTTGTACAGACCATACATGAACCCTGGTCTACCAGTGTTGTAGAGACCATACATGAACCCTGGTCTACCAGTGTTGTAGAGACCATACATGAACCTTGGTCTACCAGTGTTATAGATCATAGCAATATACAAAGACCATGTTGAATATATAACAGTCACATTCACTCTTCTAATACAGTCACTCTCATGCTTGCCAACAATAACAGTCGTGCCGAGTATATAACAGTAACAATCACTCCTCCATGCCACAGTCACACTCACACTTGTCAGTCAACAACAAAAGGTAAGGAGAAGCAGCTCACCGCTCTAGGACCTATCCAGAAATTTGATGGCTCCCAGTAGTCCACAGTTTGGATAGATAAGCTTGCCATTAGAACCTGCAAAATTTCACACTATTAGAAAGAAAATTTCACCTATATCAAAAACTTTAAAATTTTTTTATTTATGGCTGTAAGAGAACAAGTGCATTTTCTAGACACTACCAGTGATCCTCCAGTATTGAAAAGGAGTGGAAAAAGGGGCAGCTCCAGAAAGTTTATGTAGGAGTGACTTAGGGATAGAAGCTGGTTGGAAAATGGAGGCTAAGGGATTTGTCTTCAAAAAGCATTATGTATTATTTCTCATTTGAAGGGCTGAAGGATTTTTTGTTTTTTTAAGGGGGGACAGGGGGTGATTACAGTCTTCCCTTGCCCACCCTTGGTGCTGTTGCTGGGTGTAAAACATAGCTCTGGTAAGTCAGTGGATGATTAACCCTTAAATTGTCCAAACGTAGATTTACGTTCATATGCGTAGCGCTCTGAATGTAGATCTACATTCACTTTTACATTCTTTCTTATGTAAAAAAACGAAGATCTACGTTCGGAGTGCTACGCGTATAAATGTAGATCTACATTTGGACAGTTTAAGGGTTAAGACAGTTATGGATCATTATCTGACAAAAAGCCATATCAAGAGGCACTTGTCTTGTTTCCTTCGACAAGGACCCATGTCAGTAGATACTTGTCTTGTTGCCTTCAACAAGGGCCCATGTCAGGAGACACTTGTCTTGTTTCCTTTGACAAGGACCCATGTCAGGAGACACTTGTCTTGTTGCCTTCAACAAGGACCCATGTCAGGAGACACTTGTCGTGTTTCCTTTGACAAGGACCCATGTCAGGAGACACTTGTCTTGTTTCCTTCGACAAGGACCCATGTCAGAAGACACTAGTCTTGTTTCCTTCGACAAGGACCCATGTCAGAAGACACATGTTTTGTTTCCTTCGACAAGGACCCATTTCAGGGAGCACATAGAAATTCACAGGGATCCTATAATATGTTAAGATATACCAACAGAAATAAAAAATTGTACTTCACTAATATTTAGAAGGGTACACAATATTGTAAACATTTACAACTCATAAGGATTACCTTTACAGTCTGGCTTATCATTTCTTTATTGTATGTACTATTACTACTACTCTTACTACTAGAATTATTATTGCTACTGCTGTTTTTAAAATTCATTATGCAGCGATAGAAGTGAAACATTCTTTAATGTGGTGTTATCTCTGCTGCTATGTAATAACCTAACATAACTTTTATAAACTGAATGATACAGTCCTAGAGTGTTAGTGTCAACAACCAGGACCTAAACTCTCTGATGATTTCTTAAATTCAGCAATGCACAATAATTCCTTTCCTCTTTAAAACTGCAGTTAGAATGATAACAAATTCTCACTACAGGCAACACACTCCACCAATATTCAAAACACTCAACCTACTCACCATACAAAACATCCATACTTATTATTGCACCTATTACATACATAGAACACTTAACTCTGATATTAACCCTCCCCTCAAACATCTCCTTGCCAACCTCAACAGAACACATGACCATAACACAAGGCACAGATCACTCTTTGATGTTCCTCGTGTCCATCTCACGCTATGCAAAAACTCAATGCACATAAAAGGCCCTAAAATCTGGAATTCATTACCTGTAAATATAAAAGAAACACTACCTGTTTATAAATTCAAGTCTCTTCTCAAAGATCACTTACTCACTCAAAACCAAATAAATACTGAATAACTGAACCTTATAAATTGTATATCCTATATGTTACTCACAATTATATCACACAAATGTTAAACCTAGGACCCAATCTAACTTTATTATTTTTTTAAATACACTACCTAACAGAATACTCCATTCGACTGAATGTACAGCAATGCAAGCAACCATATGACCTGTCTTTGTAATACTCATTTGTGCTTTATAGTTATCTGTTTACAATAATGTTTTATCACTGATTTCATCATTGCTTAGTTAATCTTAAGTTAATTTTAAGCCAGCCCGTAATGCTATGCATATAAGTGGCTTTGGCATGCTGCTCTTACCTGTATTTTTTGTACCTCTGTTTGTATGCTTAAATTACTAAATAAATAAATAAATAAATGCAAACTGACCATAAATATTTTTTTGAGCTAAGGCTGGTTGGTTGGCTAACTGGGCTTAAAGCATACTGACAAATGATGGTCATTAAGGCTGTCAGTCACCTCTTCACCACCAGTCAAGAATAATCACTAATACAGATATACTGGGATTAAAAGTATACTTTAAGTGTGTATAAACTGAGAGAAGCATCCATCTAGGTGTGCATGCACTGTTCCTCACATTGTAAATACTCATCAGAATATATGGAAAGATTCACCAAGGCCTATCCTCCCCAATGATGACACATCCTTGTAGCCATAGATGAATGAAAAAATCTCCCTACACCTAAATGTCCTTCTTGAATGCATATTAGACCACCAGTTGGATGCGTATTGAACAAGTGACATAATTTGTCTACTCTTGAATATCAACAAAAATCGAACATTTCCGCTACTTTGAGCTCAATTTCAAGCTACTTTCAGTCCTGAAACTAATCAAAATCATTTCTATTTCTGTAATATATCTTCCATTCTATCAAAAGAGACCAAGAAACTGTGAATACAACCATAAAACCTATACGAAAATACACTGCAAATTCGGTATTTTAAACAAAAAACATGGTCACTCTTTTTTCCCATTATGCACTGCATGCTGCAGGATTTCTTTTATGTGGTGCACACTTTCTGCACCGACCCATTCTCTCATATCTAGGCCTACTCACTGCTTATCTGAGAGAGCTGAACTCATAGTGCAGAACTACAGCACCGACCAGCATTTCAAAGCCATACTGCTAAGGCACCTGCCCTCCAAGGCTTAATTAACCCGTAAACGGTCCAAGCAGATCTACGTTCACATGTGTAGTGCTACAAAAGTAGATCTACATTTTTTTACATATTTTCAAATATAACAAAAAAAAAAAGTAGATCAAAGTTTTTTTACACATTTTCAAATGTAAAAAAACAAAAAGAAAATCTACTTTTTTTACATACTTTCAAATGTTGAAAAAACGTATATATACGTTTGGACCGTTTATGGGTTAAGAACTAGGATTAGTCTGCCTGAAATGCACCGCATGCTAGTGGCTTTCTTTTGTGCCTACAAATATTTTATTACATGTAAACTACATTAATTATATACTGAATAAAAGAAATAAAGAATTTGATTACTGGTCTCCAAATGAAAAAGTCCAACATTTTATATTCACATTTTAAAGGAAAAAATTCAGTTAAACTTCATACACTGTTAGTCATTCATAAGAGGGTACAAAATGTTAACATCATATTGACATATCATTATCACTTGTTATTATATTAACCCATGAAACAAGAAGACATTAAGCTCTAAAACTTAATGTCAGATGCTAACCTGTCCTGACTGCTGCTGTAGAGTGAAGCCTTTTGGAGCCAAGCCATAACACATGATGGAGAGCAGAAGAATGAACACTTGTACAGTTGTCACCCACCACGTAAAGTACGGCCGGTAGTCATTCATCTCATCTATTTGTTTCTTCACCTGTTTAATACAAAAATAAAAATAAAAATAAGTGAAACAGCTGCTCATTTGGTCTATTTATAAAAAAAATTTATTCATGTTTAGTAGCTAAAGCTTCTCTGCATAAATAATTTTAATTACAGGTTCTTCTCAACTTATGATGGATTGACATACGATATTTTGACTTCACGATAGTGCAAAAGCGATTACTTTTAACATTAAACTTACGATAACTACCCAGCATGAAGGTGGCAAGTCCATAACTTGTACAGCCTCTCCTCACTTAACGACAGTGTTCTGTTCCTAAGACCACGCTGGTGAACGAATTTATCGCTAAGTGAGGAGCATGCTATAATGGTAGTAGTAGGTTTGTGTCAACCATCTTTGATATCGTTTTAATGTCACCTTTGCACCATTTATAACAATTCTGTTATATTTTTAAATGTTTATACAGTAGTGTACTGTATACTGTAATAAAAAGAATAGAGGAAATCAGCACTAATATACATTATTTAGGTATCCATTCTGGTCAGAGAGCCCATTGTAAGTCTGAGTCGTCGGTAAATGAGTACGTCGCTAAGTGAGGAGAGGCTGTATTTTTTTTCTGTTTTTACTTTTCAATACTGGTATTAGTTAGAGTAATTATTTATTTATTTACTTATTCAGTGACAGAAGTTATTTATTTACTTGGTTATTTAGCATATCACACTCACATTCAATTACAACAGTATTTTCAACTTACAATGGATTCATTGGAACATAACCACATCATAAATCAAGGAGTGACTGTATTATTCTAATGCTAAGTGCTAAACCCATATTATTTATTTTTATTAACACATAGGCCATTTCCCACCAAGACAGGGTGGCCCAAAAAAGCAGAACTTTCACCATCACTCACTCCATCACTGTCTTGCCAGAAGTGTGCTTTACACTACAGTTATAAAAGTGCAACATTAACACCCCTCCTTCAGAGTGTAGACACTGTACTTCCCATCTCCAGGACTCAAGTCCGGCCTGCCAGTTTCCTTGAATCCCTTCATAAATGTTACCTTGCTCACACTCTATCATGTCAAATCCTAAAAAAACATTTGTCTCCACTCACTCCTATCAAATATGCTCACGCATGCTTGGTGGAAGTTCAAGTCCCTCGAACACAAAACCTCCTTTACCCCCTCCCTCCAACCTTTCCTAGGCCAACCCCTACTCTGCCTTCCCTCCACTACAGATTCATACACTCTTGAAGTCATTCTATTTTGTTCCACCCTCTCTACATGTCCAAACTACCTCAACAACCCCTCCTCAGCCCTCTGGATAATGGTTTTGGTAATCCTGCACCTCCTCCTAATTTCCAAACTATGAATTCTCTGCATTATATTCACATTACACATTGACCTCAGACATGACATCTCCACTACCTCCAGCCTTCTCCTTGTTGCAACATTCACCACCCATGCTTCACACCCATATAAGTGTGTTGGTATAACTATACTTTCATACATTCCCTTCTTTGCTTCCATGGACAAATTTTTTGTCTCCACAGACTCCTAAGTGCACCACTCACCCTTTTTCCCACATCAATTCTATGATTCACCTCATCGTTTATAGACCCATCTGCTGACACGTCCACTCCCAAATCTCTGAACACATTCACCTCCTCCATACTCTCTCCCTCCAATCTGATGAGGTAGTCAGTCCCTCAGCCTTGGAGTTAGTGTTCACCACGATGCTGTGAACACTAACTCCAAGGCAGAGGGACTGATTACCTCATCTTTTGTATATAGTTCTACTGTCTTAAAATTATGTCCTAGAATCTGTATTGATAAAGCCACTGGATGGCAAAACGTCTACAATAAAGATATCCAGATGTTGCACATGTGTCTTAACTTTCATATTGTCGGTATTTTATACCTTTCTTGCACAACAACAACCCTGGTGTCAAGGAACCAACAACAACAACCCTGGTGTCAAGGAACCAACAACAACAACCCTGGTGTCAAGGAACCAACAACAACAACCCTGGTGTCAAGGAACCAACAACAACCCGGGTGTCAAGGAACCAACAACAACAACCCTGGTGTCAAGGAACCAACAACAACCCTGGTGTCAAGGAACCAACAACAACAACCCTGGTGTCAAGGAACCAACAACAACCCTGGTGTCAAGGAACCAACAACAACCCTGGTGTCAAAAAACCAACAACAACCACCCTGGTGTCAAGGAACCAACAACAACCCTAGTGTCAAGGAACCAACAACAACCTTGGTGTCAAGGAACCAACAACAACAGCCTTGGTGTCAATGAACCAACAACAACCCTGGCATCAAGGAACCAACAACAACCTTGGTGTCAAGGAACCAACAACAACAACCCTGTGAAAGTTAAGACACATGTGCAACATCTGGGTATCTTTATTGTAGACGTTTCGCCATCCAGTGGCTTTATCAATACAGATTCTAGGACATAATTGGAAGACAGTAGAACTATATACAAAAGATGAGGTAGTCAGTCCCTCAGCCTTGGAGTTAGTGTTCACCACGATGCTGTGAACACTAACTCCAAGGCTGAGGGACTGATTACCTCATCTTTTGTATATAGTTCTACTGTCTTAAAATTATGTCCTAGAATCTGTATTGATAAAGCCACTGGATGGCAAAACGTCTACAATAAAGATATCCAGATGTTGCACATGTGTCTTAACTTTCATATTGTCGGTATTTTATACCTTTCTTGCACAACAACAACCCTGGTGTCAAGGAACCAACAACAACAACCCTGGTGTCAAGGAACCAACAACAACAACCCTGGTGTCAAGGAACCAACAACAACAACCCTGGTGTCAAGGAACCAACAACAACAACCCTGGTGTCAAGGAACCAACAATAACAACCCTGGTGTCAAGGAACCAACAACAACAACCCTGGTGTCAAGGAACCAACAACAACAACCCTGGTGTCAAGGAACCAACAACAACAACCCTGGTGTCAAGGAACCAACAACAACAACCCTGGTGTCAAGGAACCAACAACAACAACCCTGGTGTCAAGGAACCAACAACAACAACCCTGGTGTCAAGGAACCAACAATAACAACCCTGGTGTCAAGGAACCAACAACAACAACCCTGGTGTCAAGGAACCAACAACAACAACCCTGGTGTCAAGGAACCAACAACAACAACCCTGGTGTCAAGGAACCAACAACAACCCTGGTGTCAAGGAACCAACAACAACCCTGGTGTCAAGAAACCAACAACAACAACCCTGGTGTCAAGGAACCAACAACAACAACCCTGGTGTCAAGGAACCAACAATAACAACCCTGGTGCCAAGGAACCATCAACAACAACAACCCTGGTGTCAAAGAACCAACAACAACAACCCTGGTGTCAAGGAACCAACAACAATCCTGGTGTCAAGGAACCAACAACAACCATGATGTCAAGGAATCAAGAACAACCCTGCCATCAAGGAACCAACAAAAACAACCCTGGCATCAAAGAACCAACAAGAACAACCCTGGTATCAAGGAACCATCAACAACAACCCTGGCATCAAGGAATCAACAACAACAACCCTGATGTCAAAGAACCAACAAGAACAACCCTGGTATCAAGGAACAAACAACAACCCTGGTGTCAAGGAACCAACAACAACAACCCTGGTGTCAAGGAATTAAGAACAACCCTGGTGTCAAGAAACCAACAACAACCTTGGTGTCAAGGAACCAACAACAACAAGAACCCATGTGACAAGAACCAAAAACAACAACCCTGGTGTCACAGAACCAACAACAACCATAGTGTCAAGGAACCAACAACAACAAGAACCCATGTGACAAGAACCAAAAACAACAACCCTGGTGTCACAGAACCAACAACAACCATAGTGTCAAGGAACCAACAATAACCCTGGTGTCAAGAAAGCAACACAACCCTGGTGTCAAGGAACCAGCAACAACAGCCCTGGTGTCAAGGAATGAATATCAACAACCCTGATGTCAATGAACCAACAACAACAACAACCCTGGTGTCAAGGAACTAACAACAACCCTGGTGTCAAGGAACCAACAACATCAACCCTGGTGTCAAGGAACCAACAACAACAACAGCAACAACCCTTGTGTCAAGAACCAAAAACACAACCCTGGTGTCAAGGAATCAACAACAACCTTAGTGTCAAGGAACCAACAATAACCCTGGTGTTAAGAAAGCAACACAACAAGCCTGGTGTCAAGTAACCAACAACAACAGCCCTGGTGTCAAGGAATGAATATCAACAACCCTGGTGTCATAGAACCAACAACAACAACAACCCTGGTGTCAAGGAACCAACAAGAACCTTAGTGTCAAGGAACAAACACCAACCCTGGTGTCAAGGAACCAACACCAACAACCCTGGTGTCAAGGCACTAACAACCACCCTGGTGTCAAGGAACCAATAACAACCACCCTGGTGACAAGGAACCAACAACAACCCTGGTGTCAAGGTACCTCTCTCTCTCACACACACACACACACACACACAAAATCTCTCTCTCTCTCTCTCTCTCTCTCTCACATACACACACACACACACACACACACACACAAAATCTCTCTCTCTCTCTCTCTCTCTCACATACACACACACACAATAAATAAATGTGAGGAGTGGCATGAAAGAATCAAGATGTCTCCAGACATCATAGCGGTCACAGAAACAAAACTCACTGGCACAATAACAGATGCAATCTTCCCACCCGGATATCAGATCTTGAGGAAGGATAGGAGGAGGAGGAGGCGGGGTTGCACTACTAATTAAAAACTGGTGGGGTTATCAAGAAATGGAAGGAATGGACAAGACTGGAGAAAGGGACTACATAGTAGATACAGTTCAGTCAGGGAAACACAAGGTAGTCATTGCAGTGATGTATAACCCACCACAGAACTGCAGGAGGCCAAGAGAGGAATATGATGAGTGCAACAGAGCAAAGGTGGACACATTAGCTAAGGTGGCAAGAAGGGCTCACTCGAGTAGAGCA